AATAAAAATGTCTTGTGGTGATCTAGAACACCTGCTTATGCTATCAACAAGCAGCATGAATAAGCACTTTATAGTAATTACAATGCAAAGGTGACACTTTTATACCAGTCATTGGTACACGTTAGAAGGACAAGATGTGAGGTTCGGATAGTGTTTCACTGTTTAGTGAAGCAACAGCAATATTAAGCAAAACAGAGCCCTATAATTTTCAGGTAAAGGACAAAACTCCTAAATCTTCATTGCTGTATACCTCTATCACCAGAAGAAAATATTCCATTAAAACAAATGACAAACTAGTTCTGCCAAAATATAATCTAACACTGTAACACACCTGACTTCACAGATCAATATAACTCCCTTTTTATAAGGCAGTTTTAAATGCAGTCTAGCACAGTGGTAGAGACGACTGTATAACATAATAACCAACTAATAAGCAACACCAGGTAAAAAACATTATCCTTCTTTTTCTTCCTTCCCACAAATCATCCTTTGCTTCAATTTTCATTAATACACATAATGTAAAGAAATTAAAATACTAATAAATACTACATTTGAGCCATGAAACAATGGATAGAAGTATACATATAGCAAGAGCAAACAATGCCAAGAATTGCTCTTGTATTTAAAAGAAAAAAATGTCAGACTACATGTTGAATACTGAGTCATTTTACTGCCATTATGCAATTCTCAGCCAGTAAAAATATTAACTTAAATGGAACCATTTCAAAGGATCAGAAAGTCACAACTATATTAGTAATCACTTACAACCAGTTTTCCCTCCTCTACACTCCCACTCTTTTAGTTTCAAAAATGTTCCTGAATGAAGACAGCAGAAAATTGACATCCCAATCACCTTTTTTTTCCAAACCTATCTTAGAAAACTGGGACATCAAAAATTTACTGGTACTTTGAAGAGAGTGAAAACAGGCATAAAATTTGACATAATCAAGATACACACAAGTAAGGCAGTAAGATCACATTTGAGGACTTCGAACTCTGCCTGCACCAAAAGGCATCCTAGGCCAATTCTGGCAACAGACCTTGAGGGCAGGGGATGCATTCAACATTGAGCTATTTTTGCCTTTAAATTCCACCTTCTCGATTTGCAGCAACACATATCCCATGGCTTTCAGTGTTACCAATAGCAGTGTAATGATTACAAAATAACCTACAGCAATATTTCTGTATTATTTAAAAGGTTGTCGAAATCTGCATTTCAGAACAAGCCGCAATACTTGAGTGAAGTGCTCTCTACCTCCCATGAAAAGTCATTTGAATATACACCAGCTGATAGCTGATTTTATACACTGACAATTCCAAACTATGATGCAGATCAACAATCAGAAATGAAATATTCTCTGTCACACTGATCTCTCCTAGTAACTCAACCCACCAAAAAGAAAATTTACTGCACACAGACCATTCCAAATTTTATTTTAGTCTGCTAAAGGAAAAGGGTAGCTCATTATTTTGAGATGTTTACAAAGGTAACATAACTGGACCTCACACACTTGTAAGCAAGACCTTCAATAAAGGGTATTAATTTAGAATATTCAGGCATTTTTGGAATTTTGCATTGCTGGTCAGACACTTCTGAATCACATGAAATTCAAATTCTGAACACTGTCTACACTAATCTTCTAAAGCTCATCAAATCAACTAGTGTTGAGTTTCAATTAGGTGTTGCAGAAGCATGTCTTATGACTGATTTAAACATTTGGAGAAGGCTTTTAAATTTAATTTTTTTTAAAAAACGACCACAATCCAAGACCAACTTAATTCCATGTCACCTAAAATTGCAAAACTGGCTTCTCTGGCTTAAGGAAGAAGAAGTTTCCATAAAAGTGCTTCAAATTTTTGAACTTGAAACTTCAACTGTTGCTATTAAACTACATGACTGCTTACAAAAAAAAACAAATTAAAAACATTTATTCACAGTGCACTAATTCCAGATTCCCATAATCTTCACTCTACTAGAGCCACCAACAGTGATTACATGTATGAGTTACATGAAGAGAACACCAGCAAGAAGATGTTCCACCTTCCAAATGGGTTGCTTTTAAGTGTCTTGTGTTTCAATTCTTCCTATCCAATCCTAAATAAACTCCAACAACTTCACATTTGGCAAGTTAAACGAAACACATTAGAATACAAAAGAAAGCCAACCTGCAGGAGCAATATGGCTGAAGAACCTGGGTACAAGACCAGAATTTTGCCACGAGGCAAATTCTCAGTGTTCCACGTAGTTTATCAACTGCCTCTTGGTTTCATCACTTTTAAGTACAGTTTTTCCCTTTGTCACATTTGCACAACACTATGAAAAGTACTTAATTGTTTTGTGGGCTTTCTTAAGAGATTCCTGATAGTTTCAGAATCCAAATAAATCCACCTACTGAAGGGGGTCAGAGGGAATCAACCATGACCCAAACACTAATAATGACTGAAATTTCTAGGACTACAAGCACTATAAAAACAGGATTGCAATCTTGGACACCAAGGGAACTATGTAACATGTTAGCCACCACAGGACATGCCCTTAGAACTCCCCTTGAATCGTGCTGAATAAAATTCAAGGATAAATGTATTACAGATCTTATTTTTGCTGACAGAGTAAATTAGGTTTTATTAATAAAAAAGCAGTTTCATCAGGAAATGAGGAATTTAAAGTCTTGTTAACAACTCCTTATGTTAAGTACTTCGTATCTTTTAATGAAATAGTTGTTTGTAAGGGGCACACTATTGCATTTCACTGCTACCCAAAAGGTCAGCAAATCCGTTATAATTTCCTGAGGCAAGAAAACCAGTAACATTATTTGTTCAATTCAAATGTTTAGACTTAAACTGGATCTCTGTTCATATGCATCAACAATAATAATAAAAATGGATGATTGTACCAATAAAATAACTTTGAATAATCTACTGCACTGAAAAAAATGTAGTTTTATTCTTTTAACAAAGTTTATGCTTTTCCTACACTAGGCTACATTTATTCTGAGTCATATATTCTCTTTCTTACCAACCAATTACTTTTTAAAAGGTGACACTCAGAATTCACTACTGCAAATATTGCATCCTTCAACACAGTACTTTAGAACTGGATTAGTTTGTGGCCCACAAACCTTTTTAAACACCTCTAAATAATAAGCAGTTAGAAAATATTTATTGAGAGTGCACTCAATGCTATCTGAATTGACAGCACTTCCTATAGTACATCACTGCAATAGTACAGTAATAGAGAGTGCTGCAGTCTCATTATGCTTCATATTTTGTTTTTGCTTAGTCTGCTCTACAGAAATTTTCCTAATATATGAATTAGCCTGAAACCGAAGTTTATGCCTAAAGAATACACATTTCATGCTCTAAGTGCATAAACATAGAGCACAAGAAAGATCACTGACTGACAACAGCTTCACACAGACAGAATTTCTCATCTAGTATTTATTCTATCAACACACTGTTTCATATCACACCAATACGGCTTAGTTCCACCCCAAAGACATCTCAACATTTGCAGGCTTCGAATTAGACATATTTTTTTAATTAAAATAAAAATAATGCATTTTCCCCCAACGTGTTCTTGCATCAACCTGTTCTGAACACAGCATACTGAAATGTGAGTGCAGCCAGACGGGCAGCATTTTAACACAAAACCCAAGTGAAAATGATAAGTTCCCGCAACGGTTTTGAGTTTGTGTACGAAAGTGCAACTTTAAAAAATTTTAAATTGAAGCTATCAAGAAATCAATATGCATAATTAGACAGATGTTGGGGTTTAATTGATTTGGCAGATCAATAAAACAAGTATAGTTTGCTAATTTATGTAAATGCTAGGCCAGACCAAAGGTATTTTGGGGAAATACAGTGTTCTATTCTAATACAAACAGTCATTTGTTCTAGTTGTCCGTGCAAGATTTTTACAACATCATAAATTCCACTCTGCTCTCTAAAACAATGAAAAATGAGCATTCTAAAAGTGGAAAACAGAAGAATGTACAGGATTATGCATGTAAATGTGCTGACACCAGTCACGACACTTAAAAATATAAGTTCACATAATATTAACTACTCTTAAAAAAAAAAAAATCTAATACTGATGATTCCAAATCTGAAAGGTTCTGAGATTTTTCTCAATGCCCCTTACAAATATATCATCACAAAAACTACACGTTCTGACACGCTTTTTTTAGTGCCCTTGCCTTTCAACGATCTCTAGCTTCTGACAGAGCCCTTCCTTTCTCAACTATCTAACTCATGAGGAGAGAAAACCCCGGGCACACACGATACCAGCACTAGCTGGGACCTATTTTGACAGCAGCACATCAGCAGTCACAGCCATGCGGTCGGCACGCAACACACAGCGCACATAAAACTTCCGAAAGGCACGCATTCCATTTCCCTCATTCCCAGGAAAGAGGCGAGCTCCCTGTTTACGTTCCGATAGCCGGCCTGAGATATGACAGCTTTGGGGAAAGGGCGGGGAGCCCTTTGCCGGGCTGCGATGCACCGGTGGTGCAGAGCCGCACCAGCTCCGCCCGGACACCGCGGCCCCAACACGCCTGAGAGGAAAAGTGGGACAAGGCCAGGCGTTAGGGCAGCCTCGTGAAGGCTGGAACCCCGCAAGGCTTCCACCGCCCGCTCCAGGGCCTCTCCTGCCCGCTGCTGCCAGAGGGAGCCCGCACCGCCAGCGACCGGAGAGCGACAACCGCGTCCCCGGGTGCCGTTGCTCCGGGGCCGGGCCTAGGAGCGCAGCGGTGTCACGGCGGGGCGGGCGGGGGCAGGGGCTGAGAGGGGGCGGCCGATCCCACCCGGCACCGCGGATCCCCGCGGGATCCCAAGATGGCGGCGGCCGATCCCGCTCGCCGGCTCGGCGGCGCCCCCCATCCCCCGGCGGGCGGGCAGCGCCCGGGGCGCCCGGAGGCGGCCCGGCGCCCAGGCGGAACGGGACACCCCGCCGCTGCCGCCCCGCTCCCCTCCGCCGCGCCGGGTTCCCCCCTCCTCACCTTTGAATTTGAGGTCGGTGGGCGGATCGAGCACCAGGATCTGCTCGTGCTTCGCCAGAGCCCCAGCGGCCGCCATCTCGCTCGCTCGCTCCGGCGGGAGGAGGGGCAGGGGGGAGGGCGGAGGAGGCGGAGGAGAAGGCGGAGGAGAAGGAGGAGGGGCGGAGGGGGCCGGCGGTGCCGCCGCTCCCTCGCGGCGGGCGGGCGGTGTCTCGGCGCGGCTCTGCACCGCCCTCTGCGCGGGCACGGCGGCGGCGGCGCGCCCCCCCCGGGCCTTCCTTGTGCGCATGCGCCCGGGCGCCGCGGGGTCGTCCCACACAGAGGCACCGGCACACAGACGGGCATGGAAACAGACGGGCATGGAAACAGACGGGCATACACTCCCCCACACACCCTTCCTTCCCGCTCTGACGGCTAGAGCGAGTCAGAATCCCAGAATCAGTTGGGTTGGAAAAGAGCTCCGAGATCATCGGGTACAAGCTGTGACCGGACAGCGCCGTGTAGGGTAGAGCACGGCACTCAGTGTGCCAGTCCTTCTTTGAACACCTCCAGGGACCGTGACTCCACCGCCTCCCTAGGCATCACATTCCACCTAATCACTCTTTCTGTGGAGAAATTAGTACTAATGTCCTACCTAAACCTCTCCTGGTGGAAGTTGAGGTTTTGTGCTCTCATCCTATTGCTAATTGCCTGGGGGAAGAGACTGATCCCGACGTGGCCAAAACCTTCTGTCAGGCAGTTGTAGAGGACCCCCCTGAGCCGCCTGTTCTCCAGGCTAAACACCCCCAGCTCCCACAGCTGCTCCTTACAGGGTATGTGCTCCAGACCCTTCACCAGCCTCGCTGCCTTTACCTGGACACGCTGCAGCACCTGAATGTCTTTCCTGACTGGAGGGGCCCAGAATTGGACACCGTTCTCAAGTGCAGTCTCACCAATGCTATATATAGGGAGAAAGTCACATCACTGGTCCTGCTGGCCACATGATGCCTGATAAAGGCCAGGATGCCACTGGCCTTCTTGGCCACCTAGGCACACGCTGGCTCCTGTTCAGCTGCTGCTGGCCAGCATCCCCAGACTCCTTTCTGCAGAGCACCTTTCCAGCGTGTCTTCCCCCAGCCTGTAGCGCTGCAGGGTTGGTGTGACACAAGTGCGGGACCCGGCACTTGGTCTCGTTGAACCTCACACCATTGGTCTGGATCGCTCATCGATCCAGTCTGTCTTCCCCCGCGCCGCGGCTTATCCCGGTTCGGTCCCCACAGCAGCGGTGGCTGGGGCGGAGCGGTGAGAATCAACACCCCTGCTCCTCGCCTTCCCAAACACACACACATAGTTCGGGCTGGAGCAGGAAGGATGCCGCTGGCTCGGAGCTTCGGGCAGCCGCGCCGAGGGGACTACAGCACCCGGCATGCCCCGCGGCAGTAGCGGGGCCTGCCGGGAGTTGTAGTCTTGGGGGACACCGGCGGGCGCACTTCCATAGGGCCTCAGGTGCAGCGGCTTGACCGGCCTTTCCCTCTGAGCTGGAGAAGGGAGAGCGAGCCTGGGTGGTGGATCCCGGCGGCGCTGGTGGCTCCGACACGGGTCAGTGCTGTTTATGGGTGAGGCAGTTCCCAACTGCTGCCAGGTACAATGGCAGCAATGGCTGTGGTCTGATCCAAAGGGACCTGGGCACTGACGTGGATGGGCCTGACCTGCTGGCCTTGAAAACAGCCAAAACCATTAACGTAGGAAAACTGTTGTTACATTAAGTCTTAGGAATATTAACAGGGGAATAAATGGACCTGTTTAGTCTAGAGAGGAGAAGACTGAAGGGGATCTCATTAATACATGTAAGTGTCTCAAAGGTGGGTGTCAGGAGGATGGTGCCAATTTTTTTCTGTGGTGCCCAGAGACAGGATGAGGAGCAGTGGCCATAAACTGAAACACAAGAAGTTCCATCTCAACATGAAGAAGAACTTTACTATGTCAAGGGTCACCGAGCACTGGAAGAGGGTGGGTTATGGCATCTCCCTCTCTGGAGACATTCAAAACCCACCTGGATGCGTTCCTGTGTCACCTGCTTTAGGTGACCCTGCTTTGGGAGGGGGTCTGGACCAGATGATCTCCAGACATCTCTTCCAATAATTCTTCAATTCTTTGAAAGTTGAAAGAGATTGAGAAAGTGAAAAGTTGAGAGAGATTGAGCTGCTGCAAAACCTGAATGAAAAGTAAGAGCCATTATTTATTAGCAGGCAGGAACATGAGTTGTTTGCCATCCTCCTTGCTAACACTTTTTGTCAGATACAGTGTTGTCACCGTGGGCCTTTTCATTAGTACCATACTTTCAAGCAGATGGTGCATCCTGGGGTATTTGAATGTATCAGTAATAAACAAACAAACAAGAAAAAACTGTTAGACAGTCAAATCCATCCAAACCTTGATGATTTCTGTGTCCTAAATCTGCTTCTGAAGAATTTTCCTGTAAGAGATAAGTTTGTATTCATGCAAAGTTGGAGTACAGGTGATGAAAATTTAGTCAGAAGGACTAACACATTTTTTCTCTCTTGCAAAATCTGGTGTAGGTATGCTAAGAACATACATAGAGACATAATAACCCATTTCAAAAAAATGTCCTGATAATAAATACATTGAGAGGCCTTGAATGGCTTGCATTCAAAATCAGCTCTTCATAGTAATACTTGCAGATCACATAATTTCTTTGGTGAACACCTCTAGTTTAGCCGAGCCATGAAGGAAGGATTGTGGACTGGGAAGGCTGGGGAGACCCTCTGAGTAATTTAGGTGCAGCTTCTGCCCTGGAGCCTCACCCTCCATTTCAGCTGCCTACCCCTCCTCCAGGCCTGCCATCATTCCTGCCTACTTTTTTCCACACCACTCTTGCCAACAGCAAAAGCCATATGACTTCTAATACCGTCACTGCCTGAAGAAGAAACAAGTAAAAAGTGCACTAGAAAAGCACCTCAGAGCAGGTTTGCCTGATTGGAATTGGCTTCAATAGGTGGAGTTACATGACCTATGTGTGAAAATGTCACTAGAGCTCTGCAACTACTCTGGCTGCAGGTTTTTTCCAGACTTACTTTATGATGCACATAAAACAGCATCTTAAATTACATCTTTTATTTACAATGCAATATTTAAAGTTGCTATCTGGTGGTCTGTTGGGCTTTGTTAACAAAACTAATGTTCCACTCTGTTTATGCATTCTTACCCTTGGGATCTGGATGATAAACTGGCAAATAGAGGTTTTTCTTCTTCTGTCTTAACACAGAAGAAGAATGTTAACTCTGTTATCTCCACTCTTTCTCTGTTTCTGTTCATGAATCAAGCAAAGATTAAGCCATAGTGCACACTTCTCAGAAACAGTAATTCAGTCATTCCAGAATTACCTGCTGCTTATGTACCAGAAGAACCGGGTCTCAGCTTGCAAAAAATCAAGACATGGGAAATGGCTGCAAAATGGTGAATGCCACAAAAGTTTCTGTCTTTTCTCCTTTTAATGAGGTAAAAAAAATAACAGAAAAGAGTGTAAATGCAAAAGAAGCTTAGAAGTTTCTACTATGCAGATTTAGAAGACAGAAGTATTTCTGTTGTCTAATTCTTCTGCATACCTCTTGTTTAAGAAAAACTGAGAAAAACCAGAAGTTTGGATCTCTCCTTAGTATGGTAACAGGACTTAGAGGTTTTCCCATGCAAACACCTTGTTACACATGGCTGTGCCGTAGATGGGACTGGCATCAGGGGTGTGCACAGTTTGGGGGAAGACTGGATTGATACTTACCAAGAGCATAGTGAGAGGCAGTGAATGAAGAACAGGGCACAGCCCCAAGCTCTGAGGGGATGTCGCATCATCAGCGAGGCTGCAAAGGACCCCAGTAAGGCCATAGTTTAATTTCCCACTCAAAGCTGTTTTTAACTTGGTCTTGAACACATTTTGAAGCTTACTAATGCATTGATCTGTTTTATTGCATTTAGTATCATTTCTGATCTAATGCTTCTATTTCATCCAGATTGATGTAAATTTTCATATTAAAACAACACATGTGTTGTTGATCAGCAATACCTGGCAACCTTCCCCAATATCTGATTAATTTCATGACCTCACAGCACAGCTCAGGAATGAAACCTTGGATCTACTGCAGTCAATCGAACTCCTGTCACTGATTTCAGTGAGATAATAATGTCATTCCAGAAGTGCTATTAGTGTATTCATCACTGCTTGCAAAAGGATAACATTTGCTTAATCTGAGGTCAACATTTGTCCTGTGTATTTGTAGATCTTGATGTTTTTCACTCTGCAAATTCAGTATTGTTGTTATAATATCTCAGTTTCCAGATAATTTGACATCTTTCAAAACTGTTTGCTATTAAATAGTAAATAAGCAATCTCTGTTCCTGAGAAGTAATAGAATAGATTCAGTTTCTTAATAGCTTTTTCCTGTTTATTGTGCAGGTTGTTTGGTCAGTCCCACCAATTCTAAACTTGAAAATACCTTGCAATAAAACAATATCACAACCTTCTTTGCCAGTTTTTGGTGTTACTGAGACAGTCAGAAAGAGTAACCAAGTGCTGCATTACTTGTGTTAATGGGAACATCCTGGCTCTCACTCAGTGAAGTATCTCGTGCATCCTGCACTGCTGAGTCAGTGAATATTGCAAAATGCAAAGGTATAAAGCTAAGAATATGTTCAAATTTCTCTTTAGGGAAATACCTGGCCTTTTGGTGCTGCTGTTTTTCTTCTGAAATACAAAACTGTTCTTACAGCAGGCTCTAGTCATCATTTACTTGACTGCTAGAGGTTCATATATCATTTTTGGCCCACTTGTTATATTGTAAATCAGAGATTAAGTCACAGTCCAAAGTATTATTAAAGATTTATGGCAATATTCAAATATTGCCACAGAATGGACAAGTAGATCTTAGTTGAGTATCTTCAACTTGGTTCAACTACAGTGTATTTCTTTACCCCACTAAATTACTATGAAAAACACACAATACATGTTGAATATTCATAAAGAAAGAAGCCAATAACACATAATGGCATTCTCATAAATAGCTATAGCACAAAATTTAATGTGCTTTTCATATTTTGGACCCAATTCTGTTCTATTGAACGCAAAATTGCCCTGGACCATTGACTTCTGTAAGGGCAAGCCAGAAGTGTTGTCTTGTCTTTGTGGTTTAAAGTACAATTTTAAAAAAT